AGGAAGGGATATCAAGTTTCTCAAAGAAATTTTCTAGAGCCAGGTCATCCTTAGCTGGGGGGGAGCTGTATAAAGTCTGATAGTATCTAAAAAAACTATTATTTATACCTTGGTTATCCGTGCATCTTATTCCCTGGTCATTCCGGATCTCAGGGATAGCTTGATTAGCTGTTCTTTGTCGTAGCTGATGAGCTAAGATTATGATTTTAATAGGAAAATTGTGACACTTATTTTCTACCAATGCTTGTTTCATGGAAATGTATCTGGAATACGTGACTGTTTAAAAAGGTGATAACATTTAAAACTCTCCTTTTTGCCTTATTTTGATCCCGAACTCATCTTATTAAAATGTTTCCAGTATAGTCATAGCCCATAGTTTGCATGGTAAGAAGGTCACACTTGACTTCTTTACTAAAGCGGTAATTGTACAAAAAGTATGGGCTCAGTTTGCAACGTTTAACTGACTGTTATTTATTAAGTCATTCATTTCTGTAGACACATCTGAGTTTTGCAGTGATGCACACATGCTCAGTGAAACAAAAAGTTAAAGAAGCGATACCTGGAATCTTTGTCAGCACACCGTTATCTAAACGTGTAATTTTAGTCAGCCCATCAGACAGAAACACCCTCTTTCTGTTTTCTTTCATTTTATGATGATCGATCAGTGTAGCCGCTTACCAGACACATTAATTTCAGTTATAAGCAGACAAGCCAACATTTAACTAGCGATTAAATTAAATGACTCTAAAGATGGTGTTAATATTGATTTCGTGCATTACCGTCCTTGATTGTCAAGTTTCTAGCGATCACTCTGACCATCAGCACAACACTACCTGTGTCACCTTTCTGCTGTTTGACCGTGTGGTCATGACAGTGTTTCTCAACCACTGTGCCATCGTGACAAATGATCAGGTGTGTCGTGGAAGATTATCTAGTTTCACCTGATTGGTATTCTAAGTGACAGACGTGAGTAACAGGCAGAACAATTACATTCTTTTCCACTAGAGGGCAGTACAACATCTTGCTCCAATTAAATGGGTTGCCAACTGCCAGTAAAACAGAAGAAGACGAAGAAGAAATTACATAGTCATGAGACAGCGCAGCGCATAATAGCAATAAATTAATATTTGAAAAGAAAAAGTAGTCAGGTTGACCTGGGTCATGGAGAAACTTCCGACCCAGATGACGGCCCTAGCGTGAGTAGTGGTTAAAAGAAAGCAAAAATGGTATATTGGGGACAAACGGAGCCACTTCTGCTATGCCTGGTGTGTGGGGAAAAATGATCAATATGCTTTTTGTGACATTTTTGTTTGGTGGTGTGCTGTGATTTTTTTCTAATGCGAAATATGTGCTGTGGCTCCAAAAGGTTGGGAAACACTAAGTTATGGTGACTCTGATTTAGCATTTCCGCGTTGCCAGTTCAAAGGTGGATCGAGCTAAGTATTGAAAGCATATGTGCTGTGTGGTGCTTAATATTGCTCTGAATACAGTCAAAAATAAGATTTAGACTTGGAGATGCTGATTTAGTTGTGGCTTTTTGTCTGTAAGGGGGGAAAAAAAAAAAGCATCATTGGGTAACAGACATGAACCGACAATGTCAGGTACCCAACAGAAAAATGGACAGACTCAATAAACATCAGTGTGTATACTTGAGCCATCCTCTTTAAGTGCATCGTGGTGTGGTGCTGCGGTGTGTTGTGTGTAAAGCCACGCTTGGCTGGCTGTTATCTACCATAGACTTGCAGGTCCCTGGAGGGACACCAGAGGAGTCATCTGATTCACTTTCAGCCTCGTCTTTGACTGCAAATTAAAACGGGACCAACACAGACAGACAGATAGAAAGGAGTGCAGCTTTTTTTCTTTTTTCTTTCTTTTTTTTTAATTAAATCTCTTCTGATTCTACCTAATCCCCACCAAACCGATACTTGTCTAACATAGAAAATGAACACATGAACAATTTCAGTCTCTCTTTTCACCTGCATTAACATGCACCAGCTGCAGCCTTTCACCCGACAGTGGAAGCGTCTCTCCCGTCAGAAGCCCTCTCGCTCTTTGTCTCTCCTCAGTTAAGGTCTGTTTATGAAACACAGACGATTGGCTCTGATTTGATTTGGCGTTCAGCAGCCCTGATAATTATGATGAATCTTCCCCCCGCTGTACGCGTGTGCATGTGTGCGAGTAGACGCTCTTCACCTCAGTTACTTGCCGGCGCTGCTGCTTTTCAGTGCCACTGAGATCTGAGACCTGCGATACAAGAGCTTTAAAAATATTGATTGGCATTAATTTGCCTGGAGCACCAGATGTGTAAGATTTAGTGCATCAGGGCACTTCAGATAGTGACAACCCGTCAATCTCAATGATAGTTTGCAGGTATTATATTTTTCTACATATTGAGTTTTTCAGTGTAACAAATGCACCCATCTGGTGGTTTTTGAACTTTAAAAATCATGTGTGATGTTGTAGTGTCTTTAGCTAATTATATACAGCTTGTCTAATGTGGAAACTTCATATATGGCTTTTGCCAGATGCTACAAGCTTCATACTAAAGAAACATATCTTGATATGACAATCATAAAATTCTCCTATTTCATTATATAATCAAATAGTGATATGAATATATAGTGAGTGGAACTTGCGTTGATGGTATAATTTGGAAATGCTAGCACTAACAAAAAGATAGGAGGTTAAAATTTAGAGAGGCAAGGTTGAGAAGGTTTGGACATCTGGATAGGAGGGGTGGTGAAGATGTTGAACACAGAATTTTGAATATGGCGCTGCCAGGCAGGAGGGAAAGAGAAAGATCTTAGGGGATGTGAGGAAAAGAAGACATGCAGAGGGTTGATGTGACAGAAGAATGCTAGGGATAGCATGAGACGGAGGCAGATGATCCACTGTGGCGACACCGGCGTAAAGCAAGCAGCTGAAAAAAGACGATCTTGGAGATCAGACAGAATGGCAGGGGTCTCGCTCCCACTTGTTCAGAATGGAACCCCTTATGTTTCTAGAGAAAGCATGTGGCTTTCTTCATAGTCTGTGGAAATGCTGCTGTTGTGGTGGGAATGGCGATCTAAGAAGAGAGATTTGGCTTAAAGCTTTTCTAGGTGTTTAGAGTCACCTGTGTATCCAAACGCTGTCCCCATGTTTATTTGCCTTTCTATGAAACTCTGCTTTGGCAACAGTGGGAAAGAAAAACTCCCTTTTAACAGTAAGAAACCTGTGTCAGAACCAGGCTCAGGGAGGGGCGGCCATCTCCCATGACCGGTTTGGGTTGGCAGGGGGGTGGCATGCTGAATTCAAATAGCTAACATGATTCAGATTGTCTGAACATTGCAGCTTTTCCTTTAATGCAAAAGAAGACAAATGAATCTGTCTTGGAAGCCTGGGTCATAAATTGCCTGTTTCGTCATTAAATTAGTTTAACTGGTGAATTGTTTTAAATTAACAAATTGGATCATACAGATTTATGACACTGGATGCCTAATTAAAAGCAGAATTGGTGGATCTGTTGTGATCCTGCAATTCTGGTAGAAGCTAATTAGATCAGATCATCTTATTGTGCTAAAAGGCCAATGTGCCAATCAGTGAACAAGCCACATGTGTGCCAAACATCAGTATCACTGCATCTCAAATGGAAACCTGGATTTATTTAAAGACCAAACATTTGGAACAATAATATGTCTTTAATCTTTTATTGATATTAGTTGCACATTAATGTTGTTTTATTCAAGAAATGCAGGTTAAATATTCAGTTATATGATTGTTCTACATTCTCAAAACATGTTGTGCTAATCTGGAGCTGTGGAAATGACAAAAAACATGTATTATGTTCAGAAATGTTTAATTATACTTGATACATTTGGTGTTACAAGGTTAATCTTTTGCAAATTCCTATTGAATTGTTTACTTTTTGTTAGAGATGAATGAGATTGCATGCATGTTTCTTGGGGGAATCTAATCTGATCGCCTATGCTTTTGATTACATGAATTAATGGTCCTTCCTGTTTGTGCTTCATTCTTTCTCTTTTTATCCTGCTTTGTTTCTCTTCCTCCTTCACTCTTTCTCTGTCCCCCAACATATCTAGTCTGCAGATGAGATAGAATCAATGGTAAGCTTCATTCTGACCTTCAAAAATTCAGTCCTTTCCATCTATTCCACTGCTTTCTCTCAGTGTTCCCTATTGTGCTCTTGCACAGGCTACAGGTCACTTTAAAACAAAATTGAAATTACCATTTATGTGTTGATTAGAGTCATTCTTAATCATTTCTGTTGAGCTGAAATCCTTGACAGCTGGAAGAGTGAAATATCTCTAAATTGCAGCATCTCATGAATAAAAAAAAAAAAAAAAGAAGCAAAAACAACTTTGATTTGATTGAATTCAAAGCAAATCGAACCCCTCCTTTCCCGCTTCCTTCCTTCCTCCTTATTTTTTATTTTTATTTTTTAAACGCACTCACTATTCTAGGCTCTTCATCTCTTCTCAGTTTAATGCTCCTCCAGCCCTTTCATTCAAATATTCACATACCTTCTTCCTACTTTTAACAGTCCCTATTCATTCTTTTATCTCCATTGCTTCCGTTCTTTGTTTCATTACTTTGACCTTGCTTTCTTTATACATATGGCAACATTTTTCTGCTGTATAAATATATAACGTCAGTCACAAAGCACTGGAATAAAATCACATTTTGTTACTATAATGTATCAACAGCAGTTTCTCTATGGCTGTAACAAATAATTGATTTCTTCAGCTAGTTAATTCAATGCTTTTTAAAAGAAAATGCCAATATTGGCCCTCATTTACTGTAATAACTATATGTACATACAAATCTGTGTATGTAATCATCCATACAAAAGTTTCACAGTCAAATCATTGATTCATCAATAATTTATCAATAAATTTGTTTGTACTTAACAAAAGAATAAAATCCTGGCTGTCTTAGGAAATGTACATCTAAGTCTTTGAAATAAATGCTACTACTAATAATAATGATAATAATAATGATAATATGAAGAATAAGGCCATTATCTATAATTTTCTGACATGGCGTAAGACATGCTCAGAATTAATACAAAAAAATTCAATTGCATTTAAAGGAAACAAAATGGAAAGGTGCAGGCTTACAGTTTAAATTTAAACCGATTCCTCATCATTCATTAAAAACATCAAACACTCTTGTCTGAAAGAATAGTTTCAGTTTCTTCAGACTTGGAGTTTCTCCTGCTTCCTTGCCTCAGAGGTGCAGGCTTTTTATGCTTCACCAGGAGAGAAATGGGGACAGTATGCAGCTCGCGTAAGCCTGTTGGTTCAGAATGATTCAGATTTTCGAATTTACGCTCAGTAGTAAGTGATAGGCCGGTGCGCACGTTTCCTAAATGCAACAATGATTGTATGCACTTGTTTTTTGCACAGGGTAAGAACGTTTCCGTGCACGTGTTGGTAAATAAGGGCCATCGTCTTTGCAGCTTTTCTTGCATTTCTCTTGTGTCTCATGTCTCTTTTGCGAGCTATGCTCCCTTTTCCATTTTTTCTGTCTGCTCTATGTCTCCAACACAAGTTTGTTTTTTGTTTTTTTCTGCTCTCATTTAGTCACTGTGGTGTAGATTTGCATGTGTATGCATGTCTGTCAGCATGCTTGCACTAAATTGCATTTGTTCATGTTTCTTTGTGTGTAACTGCCATCTTGCAGCTTCAAAACTACTTGTAAATAACATGGTTGGATGTAAGATGGTGCTTATGGGAGGGAGTAAAAGAGAATCCATGGGTGAATAAACAGAGGGGTGCAGGTGAAAAGAAATAAAAGATAAAAGTCTGATTTGAGAGCTGTGATTATATATGGCATTTTTTTTTCTTTTTGCTTAATCAATACCTTAAAGCTGGACTTTGCACAGAGAAAGGACAGAGAACTTGTGTGTACCTGTATCACTGATGTTGCAGGGACACATCTGTTTACACTGTCACACTGTGAAGACTCTATTTTCTTGGAGACAAAATCGCGTCCCCATCTTGAGGCTGTTAAATCTTAGATTTAGAAGATATGTTAACTTTTTTTTTACTGTACTAAGTCATATGCTGCTCTGTACTGCATTCATTTGCCAGTGCTGTATTTGTACAGTGGTGTCCAAGAGACTCAGACCAGATCAAGACAAAACAGAGAACATATTCATCCATCCACTTTCTGACACTTATCTAGGGTCGGGGGGCAGCAGTCTATTCATAGTAGCTCAGACCTCCTTTTCCCCAGCTTCCTCCTCCAGGCATTTCAAAGCCATGTCCTAGGCCTGCCCCAGGGCCTCCCCCTGGTAGGATATGCCCAGAACACTTCACTCAGGAGGTGCCCAGCAGGCATCCTAGTCATATATCTGAACTCTCTCACCCCTCCCTCCCCCATTCCCTCTCTAAGGGAGAGCAGAGCTGCCTTTCAGGGGAAGCATTACAATCTCATTCACAGAGTCTGACTCAAGTAAATAAAATGGGAGCCACTGTTCACCCATCACAAGTATGGCTGTGCCCCAAGTTTCCAGCTGAACATGGCTTGCTATACTTTCAAAGTGAGAATAAGAGGCAGAGTGCCCGAAGTTGGATTGTTATTCTAAGCAAGGATTTCTCAGCATCGAATAATGCAGAGGTGAAATGTATCTACTTGAAGCTAACTAATTATCTTATCTTGTTTTGTCCATACAAAAACATAATTGATCACAAGCGCAAGGGAGATATATGTGGGCTGTTTCTTGGCTACAGGAACTGACTCCACAAGAATATATGATGTAATGCATCAATTAGTAAGCTTTCAAACTATTTTTGGTGTCAAACTGTCCTTCAGTGGGTTAAAACTGTTGCATCCAAGGGACAGCTAGCCAGACTAGGAGTGACCGCTTAATCAACATGTTCATCAAAATTCTTTTTATGGAAAGATCGAACAACAGCTTCGGGAAAGACATAGATTTTGCTGAATGAAGGCTGCAAATTTAGAGGACGTGCCTAATCTGGAGTTTGATATCTGCCACAAAGTGACTCCACGGAGTAGATGTAGTACTTCCATGTAGTTTCCATCTTTTGAGAGAGATTCACAATGCAGCAACATAATGAACCCAAGCATACCATACACACCGATCCTGGTGCTTCTTGACCTTTGCAAGAAATACAGGCACCTGAATCTGACCCCAAAGAAAATTTAGAGTATTTGGACACTGAGGGAGTTCCTCACATTACAAACACTTTTTGCTAGAAGGTCCTGAGTTTTACTCCACCATCTGTCCGAGACTTTTGTGTGGCATGTTCTCCCTGTGGGTTCTCTCCAGGTACTCTAGCTTTCTCCCACTGTCCAAATACATGCATTTACTGGTGTTAGGTTAAATAGTGATTCTAAAATGCCCATAGGTGTAAATATGGCTGTGAATTGTTGTCGGTCTCTCTGTATTAGCCCCAAAGACTTCAAAGAAACCACAAAAAGCCAAAAATTGACAAAACATTTATGACCATGATAAGTGTTGGTAACCTTTTTTTCATAGCTGTATAAACTACAAGTTAGGTTACTAGTATTTTTATGTTAAATGATAACAACATATCTTTCCATGTCAGTTACATTTTTAAATTTCAATATGATACAACAGCATTAACATAACTTTTTTCTTCTCTCCCATTGATCTTAACTTGTGGCAAACCACTGCCTAAAATGTTATAACTATAATCTAAAATAATCTAAGTAAGTTTATCCTGGATTCCATGTTTTTTTTTGTTTGTTTTTTTTCATCCACTGTTCTGTTTGCATGCATGTGTATTTTTACTTGCAGGTTCAGCATCTACAGAAGAAAGACTCACAGCTGAAAGCACTGGATGCCTTCTACAAGGAGCAACTGGCACAACTGGAGAAGAGGGTAAAACATTTGCACAATCACACAACTAACACATAAACAGGTTTCGAGCGACATCATTTTAGGTTTCACCGGCTTTTAAAAAGTCACATGTTATATAGGTGTACAGACATGGGCAGACTTGATGTACACACATACATAAATATGGTCGAGCAACCAGAATTCAGTCAGTTAAGTGACTTTGGTGCATCAACATGGCAATAAAAGGTGGAGTCAGCCTGCTATTAGTTTTGGACTGGGCCAAGTTGTAATAAAAAGATGATTAACTGTAATAACTCTGCAACACTGTTGTTGCCATAGATGTTAAGGAGACTTGGATGTTAAGGAGGCACTAACACATCCTCCAACCACACACACCCATATTTTGCTCAATTGCGGTTTATTTCACACCTCAAACATTTAGTAAACAATTAAGCAAATACAAGTAATCTGCAGGTAGTAAGAAAATAAACTAACTCTTTTACGCTACGTCCACACCTACACGGGTATTTTTGAAAACGCAGCTGTTTCGTCCACACGTAAACGGCGTTTCGAATCACCGAAAACTGAGATTTTTTAAAACTCCTTTTTTGCGTTTACGTGTGGACGAAGAATACAGAGTTCGTCACACAACGTCAAAGGTATGTGCCTTTTTCACGTCAGCTGTGCTCCACGTTATTGCTTATATGAGAGGAATTGCAGAATGGCAGATAAACAGTATTTTGTCTCCATCTTCAGGTTTTACACTCTTACATATAAACACGCAGTTACTGTCCCTCCATTTACAAAGGCAGAGGCGTCACAGTGTGATTATTTTACATGTAATTGTTTTTTTTCTGTGCAATAATATTCAACATTGCTATCAATACATTTTTCAAAAAAATGCCTCTCTGTGCAAAATGGGTTCAAAAACATAAACTGCTGTGGGATACTGTTTGTCTGTGATTTGAACCGGGGGAACAAATCGTGGCAGGATCAGCCTGATATTATTTGTATCCCACTGTAACTTTACTGTATGAAGAGCTAACATATCCAAAATGTCAGGAATAGTTAGTCATTACAAGAAGTGTTTGTGGACTAAAAATCAAGAATGTGGGCTACTGTTTGCCCGTGATTTGAAGAGCCCAGCACTGCTCCCGACGCAGGGAAAACCAATTCTGCAGGGGAGACCTACCTCGGCACTTGTGCAGGTGAAACCAAAGGGAAGATATGCTTCACCATATTTTCTAGTCTTTGGCTTGAAAGGAGGTTGGTTTGGAAACATATTCAGCAATGCTTCATCTCCTGCTTTGCGTTTGTGTGGGCGCCCCGTGCTAGCAGTGTCCAAGCGTTGTTTTTGTTTTGTTTTTTTCCCCTTTTCATGCTGCGCCCCCCCTGCAATGGTACTGCGCCCCCCCTAGGGGGCGGACCCCACACTTTGGGAAGGTCTGCTCTAGCGTGAGTGAGCCATTATGAAAATCATGTGCTGAAGCATGAGCACGAAGTGGAAACACACTTTTATGTGGACATATTCAACAATATGATCCACACGAATGCATATATTTACTCAGCAGCAACATTATGACAGACAGTAAATTGATATAAATGATCTCCCAGGTTTGTGAGCAAACAAATGCATCTACAGTAGATTTAACCTGACTGATACAGCGGAATTCAATGCACAGAAAGTGTGTAGCAGAAGCACTCCACCAGGTGTATCCGTAAATGTGATTCAAAAAAAGGAAACAAATTTGAGCCAGCCTGAGTATCTCCAGAGAGCCCTTACAAGCCCTTGCGTTGCCTTTCATCTTTCGGTCTGACATTTGCCAGGCAGAAGAGGTGGGGTTTCAAGTTAAATCTCGGCCTCACCAGGCACCACACAAAAAGGACCTTTTCGCGGTCTCTCTGGGAGAAGCACTCCTCTGTACTTCAGACTGACAAAACCTTTATAGGACATTATGTGTAAAATCCAAGTATTATGTTCTGTTTACCATGGATAATTCAAGCTTGACGGGGACAGGGTGGTGGCAGTAGACAGAGCCACATGGGACAACTGTAACATTGGAGTGTCATCATTCCCCTGTGGCTGAGTGGACACTTTACAGCCACTCTGTTGCTGTGTTA